TTTTGAACACAGCAATGCTCGATAAAATCGACAGCGATGAAATTCTACTGATAGCAGAAGATGATGTCGACTGTGCTCCAGCAATGAAAAAAAAGGTGCATAAAATTTTGGAAGACAAAGATGATAAAGTGTCTGAAACAGCTGGCATTGAAAGAGTAATAGCGATTAAAATTGGCGCTAAAGTGATGATTCGACGAAACATTGACGTAACTTTGGGACTTGTCAATGGAACGATAGGCAATGTAGTTGCAGTTAATCGCTCTGCTGACGGCAATTGTATTGATTCCATCAAAATAGTTATTTCGGATAACAAAGAAATCGCAATAACGAAAGTAGATATTAAATTTGAAGTATTCCACAAATTAGTGGTACATCGGAAACAATTTCCATTGTCTCTCAGTTATGGAATAACTATACACAAAAGTCAAGGAATTACATGTAACAATGCAATGATGGATTTAGGAACGACTGTATTCAGTGATGGTCAAGCCTATGTAGGTTTGTCACGAGTAAGTAAATTGGAAGGCCTACATTTGATAAATTTCAATCCAGCATCAGTTAAAGCAAACTCGAGAGCCATTGTAGAATATAATCGACTGAGATCTATATTCAAATCTGAACTGCCACAAATCAATCCGTCCGAGAAAAAGGTTGTGAAAATGTACGATCGTCGATGGGCTATCCCTAATATCATTGATGATGTGCAGAATTATGATTGTGAGGAACCAGAAAGTATAGTTACGTGGAAAATATATGGCCTTTGCAATAACGATGCTGTTTCGTGTTACGCTAATGTAATATTACAATGTGCGTTTCATTGCGTACGTATTAGGCAACAAATACTGAAAAATAAAGCATCGAATGCATTGACTGATGCCATCTGCGCGTATGGTGAACGTAAATATTGCAACATTCAAGCGGTTAGAAGATCTGTCGGAAAACGCTTCGAAGAACGAACACAACAAGATGTTTCGGAATTTTTTACGGCTCTAATGTCGACGTATTCCGACATCAATGATGTATTAGAACTCGAATTAAAGCACGTAACATGTTGCTCGAATGTCAAATGTAATTACAATGTAACTAAGCTGGAAAGCAGTAGTTTGCTAATATTACCTATACATTCGACATTAAAAAGGAAAAAGGTGTCACTCTACAAAGTTTGATTAATGTAGAATTTTCTAAATGGGAAACGATAAACGGCAATTGTAACGAATGTAAGGGTACCGTGTTGAAAAGGAAAACCGTAATCGAATCAACTTTATCCGTCGTAGTAATACAGCTCAATTTATATACTTTTGTAAACGGTGCTTCTAAAAAAATTATCAACAATCGGATTAACGCCGTGCTGACGAGTAATATCACGATTAATGAAAAAAAGTACAAGGTAATAAGCGCTATATTTCACGAAGGTGAAGAAATGAATCGTGGTCACTACACGTGTATGTTGAGAGCTGACACAAAATCGGAATGGTATTACTCTAATGATATGGAAGTGTTCAAGAAAAAATGGCCCAAAGGAGCACAAGGGGCATACATATTGTTCTTAGAACAGATTAAATAATGGCGCTGTATAAAGGCTGCCGTAAGCGCCGAAATGAAACATCGGCTGCTCTGGCGCTGTATAAAGGCTGCCGTAAGTGCCGAAATAAAACATCGGCTGCTCTGGCGCTGTATAAAGACTGCTGTAAACGCTACATTAAAACATCAACTGTTCTAGCGCTGTATAAAAGTTGCCGTAAGCGCCAAAATAAAATATCGGCTGCTCTAGCGCTTTATAAAAGCTGCTGTAAGCGCTGCGTTAAAACGAGTGCAATAAGTTTCTAATTTGACCTAGGCTTCATGACATTTCAAAAAGTATCATCCAGAAAAAAATTATCAGACAGAAATATGTATGTCGTGTTAAAATCGGAGAGACGAAGAAAAATATATGGTTGCGTTCTCACGAGAATGGGCGATGGAGGGGCCCGTTCTTTATTTTCAATATTAATACAAGAATATAAATTCATTCTGTTGCAATTGAAATAAAATGTGCAATGTATCGTTAAAAGTTATTACAATTATACAAACATTTACATATATGATTAAATAAAATATATATGTATACTATAATAATAAAATTATATATTTTATATATGTACATATATACCATATATTTCAATTATTTTGAACTGTATTGCATAAATTGTTACTTATACAAAGTTATGTGATAAGAATCGAAAATACATATATTTGTGATACTTGAATTACTAGAAAGCTGCTCTATATATCTGTACTTTAAAAAGTAACTGATATCCTAAAAAAATCATAAAAATGAAAAGGTCAGGCCATGTTCAAAAGAAAGTACTCAAAAATTTAAACCTTTCAAAATTTAAACGATCTAATAATAAATTATCACGAAAAGTAACTGATATGTTATTCAAGGTGCCAGTTCAAAGTGAACATACGTAAAGTGTATATTATCTAAATTTAGTAATAATATATTACCATGAAAAGTAACTGTGATATTTTATTCAAGGTGCAAGTTCACATTGAACATACATACATATAAGTAAAACTGATTACAATTTGATTCTAGAAAATAAGTGCGATATGTTATTCTTAGTGCACAAAATATAATAGTCGTTTATAGAGATTTGATTTGAAATTCATACTAGCCCGTACAATAAAAATAATTGCTCGTAATTCCAGAGTACCAATTTGTTAATGACTCAGAAAAATAACATGGCGGCCTGCTCTCAAAAAACTTTCGATGGATAGAATAAATAATTGAAATAAGAGTTGTGAAAATTGTATAAATTAAAAATCTCCAATCTTTCTTTAGTAAAATTTCCCGTTAATGACCATCATTATCCTAGGCAAGGTGGCATATGTGATTGGGATTTAACATTATCAGTAATTTATTAATTATAATAGACAGAGAAAAGTTTTGTTGTATGCATCGGTTCAGTGTTTGAAATAACCATGTACTATCCATATACTGTAAAGCACAAATTCTTCATTTCTATCATAAATAATATCTATTTATTAAAATTTTAGCAGACGTCTTTTAAATAGAAAATACTGTCTTGCGATCATGAAGAATAGGTTTTGAATAGCAAGGTTTCATTTGACTTACAATTTTCTTCAGAAACACAGAAGAAAAAGGTATTTGTATATAGTTTTGTATATTCACTTCGTTGTGTGTAGAGCTTTTAAAAATACGTTGAATCCTTATTCTAATCTAATCTTCTTCTAATGTAATTACTTTTCGTACTTCAAATGTTGTAGTAATTATTCTGTAAGAGCTTCGACATTATTTCTAAATGGACATCGAAAAACATCATAGTTTTTTGAGAGCAGGCCGCCATGTTTTTTTTCTGAGTCATTAACAAATTGGTACTCTGGAATTACGAGCAATTATTTTTATTGTACGGGCTAGTATGAATTTCAAATCAAATCTCTATAAACGACTATTATACTCTATAAACGAGTATTTTGTGCACTAAGAATAACATATCGCACTTATTTTCTAGAATCAAATTGTAATCAGTTTTACTTATATGTATGTATGTTTAATGTAAACTTGCACCTTGAATAAAATATCACAGTTACTTTTCATGGTAATATATTATTACTAAATTTAGATAATATACACTTTACGTATGTTCACTTTGAACTGGCACCTTGAATAACATATCAGTTACTTTTCGTGATAATTTATTATTAGATCGTTTAAATTTTGAAAGGTTTAAATTTTTGAGTACTTTCTTTTGAACATGGCCTGAACTTTTCATTTTTATGATTTTTTTAGGATTCTCTTATACACAAATCGTTCAATAACCATCGCCGGAAAACTATTATTAGATAAAATATTTTGATTTATCGTTTTGTATTTCAATGCCATACATAAAAAATTTAAGTGATAAGATTGCTAGATCTTTTAAAAAAATAGGGTTAAATGTTATTTACACAATACCTAAAAATTAGACTTTGTAATTAAACGAGGAAAAGACAAACTGCCTAAAGTAGATAGGACGGAAGTGGTTTATAAGATTGACTGTAGGGATTGTGAGACTACATACATTGGGCAAACTAAAAGACAGTTAAATACTCGGATAAAAGAACACACGAATAACATAAAATTACATACGAGTAATCAGTGTGATTAGCAAACAGAAACAAAACTATTTACACGATTTTAATTGGACAGCCTTTAATATTCTACATCAAGAAAAACATACGAAAAAAAGAGAGATTGCGGAAATGTTTTATATTAAAAAATTTAATAACATGATTAATCTACAAAAAGACACTAAGAATTTGAATCCTATTCATGATAGAGTGATAAAGACTGTTTAGTTTAGTTATTGTTTGACCATCTATTTGAAAGGTTGCGTTGACACATGGTATTATACTTGCGTTTGTTATGTGTATTTCTAAATAGTTAAATTTAATTTTTTTATATCAGTTATGTTTAAATTATTAAACTATTAATGTATTATTAATCTTAAAATGTGCTTATGCTTATGTTTTAAATGACTATTTTATTATTAAAATTGATGTTCCATGCTTAAATAATTCTTAAATAGTATATATTTTTTGTAGATTTGAAAAGGACCCAAAACAAAGGTCGAAACGTTGTCTTGATTTAATAATATGTCTTAGTAACAATAAAGATATTTTTATGCCAGTTGAGTCGTTAAGATTTTTCTAATTATTTATTATTCACTGGCGAGACAAAGATTTATTGATTATATTATACATATATATGTATGTAATTACATAAATACATTTAAATACAAGATACATTTAAATTAAATAATTAATTACAAAATTCGAAATACTTGATTATTCGGTATTTAAATACTGTATTCAAATAAGAAACATATTTAAATAGGTATCTTAGATACTTTAAGATACATATCTGCCCAATCCTATATAATACATATTTATTGAGTAAATTACAAAACATGGATTTTACATTTTCACATTTAACAGACATATTGTAATACCAAAATATGAAGAATTTTTTTTACTTTGCTAGTCAGGTAACGGTGATTTTTCTAAACCCAAGTATGATCAATCAATTTCTTAAAAGGGGTTATGCAAGAAAATATTTATTATCGTCTTTGAAAATCATAATTTTTGGTGGTGCGGTAAGTAAACCAAAAGTACAGGTATAAATGAGACGTACCTTACCAAATGTTCTAATATTACAAGATTATGGTAGGTATATTCTAGTGTAAGAAAATGCAAATAAATATACAATCATAATATATAATAAATAATACATAAAATAAGGAAGATTTATATTGGAAATTCGATTATTTATTTTATATTTCTAGGAATGACCAAAATCTGTGGAATCGAGACATTTCAGCTGCCGCATCACAAGGCTGGATCTAGCGGGACTGTAATCAATAATGTAGAAATAAAAGCCGTAGACCCAAAAAATAGAAAGGCTCTTGATCCAAATAATCCCGAAGAATTGTGGATAAAGACACCGAACGTAATGAATGGCTATTATAGAAACCCTGAAGCGACTAAAAGCATTGTTGACGAGGAAGGTGAAAAAACCTTTACTTTTGCACGCACGCGCATGTTAACAATGATATAATTAAATTACATCAATTATTTATGTACAAATATTCATTTATATGTGTATACCATAGCAAATCATAGCCAGTTGAAAGTATAATAAGATAACTATAATAGACAATAGAATAAGCTTATAATAAAAGAACTTATGCTAAAATTCATTGATTAATTTTTATTTTTTTAAATAGAAATATTTTAATTAAAAAAACTGTTGTACAAATAATAATTGTATTAATTTACTACACAAATAATAAAAAATTTATCCAAAAAATAAAAAATAAAAGATAAACAGTTAAGATAAACAAAAATTAAAATAAAAAACTTTAATTGAAAAAAAATTGATGCTTTAAACATTAGTATATTATTCAGATTGATAGCCCAAGATTTTAAAAAATGTTAACATTGGTTTGCACAGAATTACAATAATATATTATTTTGTATAACAATTACTTTTAATTAAAATATATTTTCTATATTTATTAACGCCGTATACTTAATTAATAAAATTTTAATAAGAAATATATGTCGGCTCTCAATATTATTAATAATAATAATACATGAATTTTAAATCGGCCAATAGAGCCCAAGCGCGAAAAATTAATTCTTCGGAACTGCATTTCTTGGTTTGAGATTTCTAAGTTCCATATATAAATTAATCTCGAACTTACATATGGAGAAAAATAGGCGAGAAAAATATAGGTCCGAAAAATTCATGTATTATAATAAAATTTTATTAAAATAAGTTTTTTGGAAGAAAATATACCATAAAAGAATAAGTTCAAATTTGTTTTAGGATGGCTACATTCGGGTAACATGGGTTATTTTGACGAAGACAAGGAACTTTTTATTGTGGATAGAATAAGAGAATTGATAAAGTACAAAGGATATCATATTTCACCTGCAGAAATTGAAGCTATCTTAATGACACACCCAGAAGTGATGGAAGCTGCAGTAATAGGAGTGCCTCATCCAGTAGATGATGAACATTCTGTTGGTTTTGTCACTAAAATACCCGATGCAAAGGTATAACTTTGTTGCAATTTTAATGAAATCACACAGCAAAATTCTATGAAATAATAATTTAACAATAGCGAAGTGAAAAGTTTTATTCGAAGAACTTCGTTAAACATTTTTATAACATAATTTTTAATAACTTATTTTCAAGATTTCAATTTTTTACTCTTTCAATTCTATAAACTTTTTAGAAATAGATACATCTGTAAATTCTTTATTTTTTATGTTCCAGAAATATATATAATGTATAATATATATTTATATCTCATAAAAATGATAAATTTAAATATTAATTTTATATATAGAGCATATACGAAAACAAAATGGAGACAATTTATTATGCAAATGAAAATTAAAAAATTTTTCTACACAAGTTTTTGATAAAATTTACTTTAAAGATTTTTCGAGTATGAAAGTTTCAATATCATGTATTTATTCTATCAAATCATAAATTGCTGAAAATATCACTCTTCTTGCCACATAATATGTATTAGAAGCTGAAGTTGAGAGTAATATGTTTTGAATCTTTATTTCCTTAAATGTGTATTTATATTTCGGGAACTGGCAACACTGATGTCATGTGAGTTCATCTGACGGTTCCATAGTAAAGTTTGACATTTTGACGATATATTGACAAAATGCGATTTTAATTATTGTTATTATTTTTTTATTGTCCATAACTCTACAAATATAAAGTTGAACATAAATAATAGACAAAATGTGACAAAACATTTTCTATAAATACAAACAGATATAGTTGTATGTAACACGATCTATTAAGCCAATTTTTCTTGTTAATCAAATGCACTTGTATCTAATGAAATTTCAAAATCAATTTTATGGAAAATAAAGTTTTAGATGAAAAATTAGGTATATTCTACATTTTTGACTTACGTTTATATAAGAAAAAATTTTATTTTTTTTGTATTATGATTTATAATGTATTTTTATGTATGTGTTAACAGAATATACAATTATATATATGGAATAAATTATTTTTTGTATAGGTAACAAAGCAAGAATTAATTGATTTGGTGGCTAATAACTTGAAGGATCAATATAAGCTTCGTGCTGGAGTGATATTTCTGGATGCTTTTCCATATACAGGTTTAATAAAAATTGCCAGGAATGAATTGAAAATAAGAGCTAGAAAACTAGCGATTAAATAAAATTATTAATTAAATTTAATTACTAATTTTTATGTATAATTATGTATAAATATAATTATATTAGATTATTAGTATTAGTATTATTATTGTATAAGATTTAACGTTGTAGGATGCCGGGTTAACGTGATCAAATGATTGTACGCGTTTTGAAACGGTTTAAATTAGTTTATTCACTTTCTACAAGTTCGTCGCGTACCGAGACTTATGTTTCTCGGCGCTCGCTCTCTCGAGGACTGACTTGAGGGCTGCGCGAATTTCGGAGCTCGCGTAGGGCGGCAGCCGATCGGGGTCCTCGATTGGACCATCAAAAAATCAGGCGATGTACACACGCCAATTAGCGGCGAGTGTACACGTTGGTTTCACGTGTTTCCTTGGCGTAAACACTAAGGAATTTCACAAAAAAGCGTTCTAGAAAATTCGATCGTCCTCGAGGATTCGCTCCGAAGAACGAATCTTCAACATACCGCCCGCCTCGTATGCGAACGAATGCGAAATAAACTTAAACGAAGCGGGAGCGAATCGTCGAGGAAGATGATTACAAAACATACAGGTGAAGACGACTCGTACTGAGAAAGTCGTCTCGAAGATTACAGAACTCTTACAAGTTAGCGGCTTCATCCGTTGCGGACGCGTTAGAGTTATCACGTATTGGCAGTCGGCATAATTGCGCAATAGGTCGTTTCAATGTGGACCGTGAGGTGCGTATGGTCACAACTCGAACGAGTCCATCAAATCCGGGATGGATCTGCTGTACTCGGGCAAGCTCCCATTTGCTCGGAGGGAGCACGGGACTTTTAACTAATACTAATTCGCCTATTGCGAAGTTAGGAGACTGCTTGCACTTGTTTCGCTGTTGAAGCAAATGTAAATAATCCTGTGACCAGGCACGCCACACGGTTTCCTGCATGGCACGGACTAGTTGCCATCGCGAGAGCCTACGCGGGTCGATCGCGAGTACCGATTCCTCCGGAACGGCTACGAGGGGCCGTCCAATCAGAAAGTGACCCGGGGTGAGCGCCGACAAGTCACCCGGGTCGTCACTAAGCGGAGCGATTGGTCGCGAGTTAAGGCACGCTTCTATTTTACATAGAAGCGTCGCGAGTTCAGCCCTCGAAAGTGTGTGGGAACCAACAGCGCGCCTCAGATGCGTTTTAAGGCTCTTGACTCCGGCCTCCCAAAGGCCGCCGAAATGTGGAGCGGCGGAGGTAATGAAATGCCAGTTCACTCCGTCGCCTGCGAGCGCGTTTCGCAATTCAGCATCCTTCGATAAAGATTGAAAGTGTCGATGGAGTTCGTGGTTGGCTCCATGAAAATTTGTGCCGTTGTCGCTATACATGTGACGCGGCAGACCTCTTCGGCTAGCGAACCTCTGATAGGCTGCAAAAAAGCCGGGCGTAGAGTAATCTTCCACTAATTCGAGGTGAATCGCCCTTGTAGCAAGACAAACAAACAGAGCGATATATACTTTTCTGGCCTTTTGCCCTCTGCCGACGAATGAAATTACGTGGAGTGGGCCGGCGTAATCAACCCTACAATGAGTAAAAGGCGCCGAAGGGGTGACACGAGCGGCTGGAAGGTCGTCCATGAACTGAGAAGACAATTTAGCCGCGTGACGAGTGCAGACTACACATTTTCGAATGTGCGCCTTTACTGAGCTGCGGCCTCCAATGAGCCAGTATCGCTGACGCAGCACACGGAGTACTAGCTGTGTCCCCCCGTGGAACGTGGATTTATGAGCGCGATCAATTAAGAGATCGGATAAGTGATGTTTCGGAATTATTATAGGATGTTGCTCGTCATAGCTGAGCGCGGAATTCGTCAACCGCCCGCCAAGACGGAGTAAAGAGTCCTCTCCTAGAAAAGGACTCAATCTGCTCAACGAGCTCGAATGCGGCATGGTGCCGTTATTCTTTAGTGAGCGCGTTTCCCGCTCGAAGAATCTCTGTTGCAGATAGCGCAACCAGAAGATTTCCGCCCTCCTAAACTCATCGGCGTTCAGAAGGGGGGAGAGTTGGAGCGAGACGCGCTCTTTTCTTTTACACAAAGAATAAAGCGATTCATATAGGCAGTCACGCGGACAAGCTTGGTCCAAGTGGAGAACCTATATGGGAGTTCCCATTCCTCGGCCTCTTGAACATGGAGCGTCACAGGCCGTCTTCTTTCCACCGACACCTGCTGATCGGTGGCAGAGTCGAGCGGAGCTGAGACATTCAGAATCGGCCACGCAGTCGATGGCTTCTGAAGCCATCGAGGACCGTTCCACCATAGCGGGTGAGTCACGAGCTCGGAGGCGGTCAAGCCGCGCGAGGCACAGTCCGTTGGATTATCTCGAGACGGAACGTGATTCCAACAAACGGAATCCAGACAGGTATGCACTTCGGATACGCGGTTAGCTACGTAGGTGCTCCATTTTGATGGGTGTTGACGGAGCCACGCGAGAGCGATGGTCGAATCCGTCCATCCGTATATTGGAATCGGAAATATTTCATTTCAACGATGTCAAGGTCCACTTGATTAGCCGGCTGAGGAGGACGATAGCGTTCAGTTCCAAGCGCGGGATGCTTACGGTTTTGATCGGCGCGACCTTTGTTTTAGAAGCGAGCAGAGTGATTTGAAATTTCGTTGGCGAAGGAAGCACTCGAATATAAACGACCGCCGCGTAAGCGCGGTTTGAAGCGTCGGCAAACCCGTGGATTTCGAACGCGAGGTTATTGGAATGTCGACCGGTCCAACGCGGTATTCGGACGCGGTTTAATGATTCTAAATCGTTGGTGTAGCTCTCCCAACGATCGCGCAACTCCTCTGGAAGAGGGGAGTCCCAATCACATTTGAGAAGCCATAACTCTTGTAGCAAGATTTTCGCGGTTACAACAACCGGAGCAGCCCATCCTAGTGGGTCGTATAATTTTGCCGTAAACGAGAGAACGGAACGTTTCGTGTGCGTAACCGATCTCAACGGAGTTATCACGAATTTGAACGCGTCCTCTTTAGCAAGCCATGAAAGCCCGAGAACCTTGAGGTCATCTTCTTTTACGAGTAAGTGATCGGTGACTTCCGGCTGATGAGCCGAAAGTTCTTGAAGAAGAGAGGAGGCATTAGAAGCCCACTTTCGTAGTTGAAAACCTCCCTTTCGCAGAATCTCAACTAGTTGGACACGAGCTTCTATCAATGAAGTCGTATCGTCGTCGCGCCAAAGAGTGCATCGTCACGTAGAGGGACTCGCTGAGAATTGGAACAGCCGCGGGATAGTTGTCGCCTTCATCTAGAGAAACTGTTTCAGTACCCTCATTGCGAGGTATGGAGCGGGGGCGAGCCTGTACGTTACAGTGAGAAGGCGATAGTGTTCAATCGGCCCATCGGCCGACGATCGCCAGAAGATTCTTTGAAAATCCGCGTCAGACGGATGCACGAGAATTTGGCGGAACATTTGAGCAATGTCCGCCGTGTAAACAAATTGCCATTGACGCCAGCGCAATAATATAGCGGAGAGGTCTTGCTGCAGTTCTCTGACCGATCAGTAAGTGATCGTTAGCGAAGTCTTATTGCTCGTTTTGCACGAAGCGTTGAAGACAACGCGCAATTTCGTAGTGCAACTCGAGTCGCGCAAAACGGGATGATGAGGAATATATACCGCTCGAACTCGGAGCGGTCAAATAATTCCACCTTCCTCATATGACCGCGCGAATTATACTCTCGTAAGAACTCGTTGTATTGCGCGTGAAGTTCAGGACAAAGCTTTCCTTCCATTTATTATAAAGCGAGGTTGCAATGTGCAAAGAATTACCGATTTTTATCGGGAAATCATGCCTGAAGGGCAATCGAACCGCATAGCGTCCCTGAGGGGTACGATAGTGGTTGGCGATGAAATGAGCCTCGCACCTCTCCTCCTCCTCCGTGAGGGGGACAGGCCGCGAGATCTCCTCATCTTCCCAGAACTTCTGGAGAAGAGAGTGCGTGCTTTGTTCCAACACGCAGTTTAATACAGATGCTTGAGCAGTAGTAGTCGGCTTACTATTTGTGGGCCGGAAAGGATCCAACCGAGAGCGGTCAATTGTGCTGTCGGAGTTCCAAGAGGACCCTGACAGACATCGCTCTTCAGAAGCGAGCCGTAAAGGTCAGCACCGATCAACAAATGAATTTGATGTTGACTTGAAGGATCAGGATCAGCAAAAGATAGACCCTGTAAATGAGGCTACGCATCGAAGGGCTGAATCCGCGAGCAGCGTATGAAGTAATGCGTTGAAAAATGTAAGCCGTCAGAGGAAGCTCGGATCAGCTTGAGCACACGGGGTTAACTGTAGTTTTTACGCGCGATTTCGCAGTACCCGTGTATTTTTCGGCCGAAGCATTTAATTTGTAAATCGGCTCGTTGCCGTTTAGTGCGCAACGCCTGTGAGAGCGATTCTGATATAAAGCTAAAGGTGGATCCTTGATCCAACAACGCGCGAACCTTTAAGCAGCGACCCTCCCCCGTGTGGGGTCGACCCATGCCGTCGCCAAGAGGACATTTGGATGTTCCTGAAGCGAGGGCGGTACTATCTGGACGGCCGCGACCGTATTGACCGTCTGATTTGTAATCGCATTAGATGCGGCTTGTGACGCAGATTCGGAGGTAGTAGCCTCGGAACGGCCAAGTTATCGGAGGCATTTTGATTTGCCGCTGAATGCAGCAATGTGTGATGCGAGCGACGACATTGTCTGCACCGATATTTGCTCGGGCATTTTGACGGGAAATGTCCGGACTTTAAGCAGTTAAAGCAAGTTTATGCTGGCGCGCGAGAGCAAAGTGCTGTGAGCTGATTTCTTCGCGTAGTCTTCGCATTTCGAAACGTGATGCTCACCGAGCAACAAATACATTTAAGGCAGTCACGTTGTTTACCGTTAAACGCGTTTATTCATTTTTCGAAGAACCGGAGTCCTTGCTTTAATCGGCAAAGTCCGACAATCCGCGTATACGGAGAGTTAAAACAANGAGCAACAAATACATTTAAAGGCAGTCA